TAAGGTGCCCCTGATTCAAGCTTTGATCTTTGCAATTACTTGCTATGCATCAGAAAGCTGGGCAATGACTAGGGATGATAGAAAGACAATTGATGTATTTGATCTGTGGTGCTGGAGAAGAGTATTAAATATGCCATGGATGGCTAGGAGAACAAACAGATTCATCCTAGAGATGATGAAAGTAGACTGCTCCTTGGAGGCAAGGATTCAGAAGTTTCATCTGACATACTTAAGACATTTTTCAACGAGGGACCAGTCCTCAAAGAAGGACATTATGTTTGGGAGGGTGGAGGGACAGCACAGGAGAGGATAACCTATGAGATGGATTGACTCAGTGACTAGGGTAAGGGGGGTAGATGTGTCAAAAATGATAAGGTGGGCTTGGGATAGACTAAGATTCAGTACTGTTGTACACAGGGTCACTATTAGTCGCAAGCACATAGCAATAACAACAACATTTTCATATCTTCAACATGGAATCTGTGAGTGATGACAAATGTTCCAATTGTTTATTTATTTAATTTTTTTGGTCATGACAACCACCAACAAAAATTTACATACCCTGTAAAGCAATTCATTCTTATTGATGATATTGTACATGTGTATCAATGTGATTAAGATATATATAATATATAAATTCTGCTTCACTCACAGTGTCAGAAATTAAATACACGAGTTTTGTTGTTGTTCTTGTTAGGTGCTGTCTAGTCAAATGCAACCCATAATCACCCTATGAAAAACAGATATGACTCCTGTCCTATCCTGTTCTATCTTCACACTTCCTGATACACTCAAGGTGATGGCAACAATCACTGTGTCAATCTCATTGAGGATCTTCCTCTCTTTCAAGTCCCTTAACCTTTTCAAGCATGATGTGCCTCTCCAAGGAATAGCCTCTCCTAGCAACATGCCTGGAGTATGCTGGCCTCTAATGTTAGGTAAATTAGCCTTTACTTTGAAACAATCCCCATTCACTATCAATCACTGAAAAATTGTTGAGCTTTGTTTAGTGCTAAAATAAAGTGAAATAAGGACTATGAAGCTATTCTGACTGACCTATACATTCTTAAAGACGGTAAAGAATGGAAGTTTGTTGTTTTGTTGGGTTTTGTTGTTGTTTTTTTTTTTTGCCTCAGCAATTGTCTGGGTTTAAGGAATTATAAGTAGTAATGACAATAGAAATCTGTTTATTTTCTGAAGGATCAGGTAGCAATGTTCCTCTGCAGTGTACAAACAACTAGACTTGGTGACAGAAGTGAAGCTGGAGATAGGATGGTAGAATTTTGCACAAACAACAATTTATTCATTGCAAATACATTTTATAAGAAACATAAACGCAGGCTATACACATGGATTTCACCTGATGCATAGGAATCAGATAGATTACATCTGTGGAAAGAACCGCTGAAGAAGCTCAATATCAGCTGTGAAAACTAGGCCTGGTGCTGATTGTGGAACAGATCACCAACTACTCATATGTGAGTTTAAGCTGAAGCTAAGGAAAGTGAAATCAAGCTCATAGGAACCAAAATACGACCTTGAGTCTCTCCCACCTGAATTTCAGAACCATCTCAGGAACAGGCTTGAGGTCTTGAGTACTAATGAGTGAAGGCCAGATGAGTTATGGGAGGATATCAAGAATATCATCCAGGAAGAGTACAAAAGATCATTGCAAAGATGGAAGAGACAGAAAAGACCAAAAAATGGATGTCAGAAGAGACTGAATATTGCACTGGAGCACCAAGAAGCCAAAGAAGAAAGAAATAAAAACATTAAGAGGCTAAACAGGAGATTTCAAAAGGCTGTGCGAAAAGACAAAGCAAAGTATTATAATGAAATGTGCGAAGAGCTGGAGTCAGAAAATCAAAGAGACTGAACTCAATCAGAATTTCTTAAGCTCAAGGAACTGAAGAGGAAATTCAAGCCTCGAGTTGCAATACTTAAGGATGCTTTTGGTAGAATATTGAGTGATCCTGCAAGTATTAAAAGAAAATGGAAAGAGTATACAGAGTCATTATACCAAAAGGAATTGGCAGACACAAAAGAATTTAATGAAACCACATATGAGCAAGAGCCTATGGTGATGAAGGAAAAAGTTCAGACTGCTTTGAAAGAATTGGCTAAAAAAAAGGCCCCAGGAATAGATGGTATACCAATTGACATATTTCAACTAACAGATGTGGCCCTAGATGTGCTCACCAAGCTGTGCCAAGAAATCTGGAGAACAACCACTTGACCAACTGACTGGAGGAGATTTAAATTTATCCCCGTTCCAAAGAATGGTGATCCCACAGAGTGTGGAAATTATCAAACAATATAATTAATACCACATGCAAGCAAGATTTTGCTGAAGATTATCCAAAAATGACTGGAACAGCACATCAACAAAGAACTACCAGAAGTGCAGACTGGGTTTAGACGGGGCCATGGAACTAGGGATACCTAATGTTAGATGGATCTTGGCTGAAAGCAAGGAGTACCAGAAGAAAGTCTATCTTTGTTTCATTCATTACGCAAAGGCATTTGACTGTGTGATCATAACAAACTGTGGCTGACTCTGAGAATAATGGGAATTCCAGAACACTTGATTGTGCTAATGTGAAACCTATACTTGGACCAGGAGGCAGTTGTCAGAACAGAGCAAGGAAACACTGCATGGTTCAAAATTGGGAAGGTGTAGACGAGAGCTGTATCCTGTCTCCATACTCTTTAAATCTTTATTCAGAACAGGTTATCTAGGAGGCTGGGCTCTATGAGGAGAAATGTGTTATCAGGATTGGAAGAAGAATCATCAACAATCTGCGTTATGCAGATGACACAACCCTGCTTGCTGAAATTGAGGAGGACCTGAAGCACTTGCTGGAGAAGGTCAGGGACTGCAGTCTTCAGTATGGGTAGAGACTCAATATCAAGAAAACGAAGATTCTCACCACTGAGCCAATTGTCAGCATCATAATGGATGGTGAAGAAATTGAGATTGTTCACAGTTTTGGTTTGCTTGGATCCAGTCAACACTCTTGGCACCAGCAGCTAGGAAATTAAAAGATTTCCCATTGTGATGGGGAAACTCCATGGTTAGAGACCTCTCTAAAGTGCTGAAGTGCTTAGCAATCACTTGCTATGCATCAGAGAGCTGGACAATGACTAGGGATGGTAAAAGGAGACTTAATGCCTTTGAGCTGTGGTGTTGGAGAATTGTATTGAATTTACCATGGACTTCTAGGAAAACAAACAGGTTTGTCCTGGAGAGGGTGAAGTTGGGCTTCTCCTTGGAGGTAAGGATTCTGAAGCTCCATCTGACAACTTCAGACATGTTGCAAAGCAGGAACAGTGCATTGAGAGGGATATCATGTTTGGGAGTGTGGAGAGACAATGCAGTAGAGGAAGAACCTCAATGAGATGGATTGATTCAGTGACTGGGGTAATGGGGGTAGGTGTGTCAGAGATGTTGAGGTTGGCACAAGATAGGATAGAATTTAGGGCTGTTGTACACAGGGTCACTATGAGTCGCAGGCGACTCGACAGCACATAAGAACAACAAAGGAAATGTTAAGCTGATGTTAAAAACACAATGAGTTTCTTTGTTGCCAAAGAAACATTTAACTTCAGGGAAATATGAAAGAGAAGCTGTGAAATTGGTCCTTAATAAAAACTATGTTTCAAAGCAAAGTGATTTCACCTCATGAATTTTGATCTTCTGTCTGTGTATATATACTGATACTCTATCATTAAATATGTTATAAAAGTCAAACCCCTAGGAAAGCTCTGGGGGTCTAGTGGTAAGAAGTTGTGCTGTCATCACAAAGGCAGGTGGTTTGAGTCCACCAGCATCTCCGTGGAAGAAAGATGGAGACTCTCCTCCCTTGCAGTGTGAAGTAGACCCTCTAAAAGCCCACTATAGGGTATAAGTAGGCTGGCAAATACCTTTATCCAGAAGTGTACAATGGGGAAAAGATACCAATAAATGGGACCTTCTAAAGCTTAAGTTCCTGTGTGCATAAAAAAAAATTTTCTTATAGGATACATAGAAAACTTACTGGGGAAAAAAACATTTGGCAATGGCATCTCAGACAAGAGTCTCACGAGTCTACAGAATACTACAGGAAAAGACTGATAACCCAGTTACAAAATGGGCAAAAGACATGGAAAGACTTCACAGAGGAAGTAATTCAGATGGCCAACAGATATATGAAGAAATCCTCAAAATCACTGGCAGTGAGAGAGATGCAAATCAAAATCACAATGAGACACCATCTCATCCCAGTAGCAGTGGCAAAGTTTAACAGGTGAGCAAGCAAAAAATGTTGGAGAGGATGTGGAGAGATTGGAACTCTCATACGCTGCTGGTCGAATTGTAAAGAGGGGCAACCTCTCTGGAAGGCAGTTTGTCATTTTCTTAAAAAGCTGAACAAAGAAATTCCATAAACCCAGTAATTCCACTGCTAAGAATAATATAGTCTTTTTAGCCTCTGTGGTGATAGTACCTAAAACAGTTCTTCGCAGTAAAAAGAAGGCAGTGTGGAGGAACTTTGGTTTAATAGCTGAAATTTGTTCTCTAAGTCATTTCAGTGGCTTGATTATTAACTAATTATTTCATTGCAGTGCAATTTATAGACTTATGCATGGACAATAAGAGTATTGACTATAATCCTCAAATGTAACTGCATTTTTCTTTCTCTCATCACTTTAAGACATGAAGAAAAGAAAAAAAATAAAGGTTGTAGTTAATGTTGGGAACTCTGGTGGCCTATTGAGTAAGGAGTTTTGCTGCCAACCCAAAGGCAGATGGTTTGAATCCACAGGCTGCCTAAAATAGATGGACCATTTCTTCACATGAGATATATAGCCTCTGAAAACCTGTGGCAGAGTCAGCTGAGTCAGTTCCTAATCAAGGGCACATAACAACAGCAAAATAGTTGATATGAAACATAGCCATTTAAATGCCTTTTTTGCATTTTACCTTTTTTAGGATTGAGAAATATCATTCTTACATACCAGAAATGAAATTCACCTTGATGAAATGGTGCTTAGTATTTTTCATCCTTCTAAATGTAAGTACAACAAAATCGTTCTAAATTAAGATAATAAAAAATGTTGAAATGGGCAAGAGTGTTCTGAGCATGATTGAAATGGTTTTTAAAAGGGGTAAGCAAATGTCCTCCCCAAACCTCAAAATCATCATTTTCTTTAAAGTATATTTACAAATCTCCCCCTGAGCTTACATTAATTTAGAGTAGTGCTTTGGTTTGCCCAGAAATTTATATTTTATTTGGCTTTTTAAAAATTATTTTGTATTTATTAAAAAATATTTTTTAAATAGTGATTTGAGACAACAACTCTATATTATCTTGGAAATAAATATTAAAAGCTAATGTTTTATTTAATGAAGAATATAATATCAGATTTGAAGAACAATTTCTCAACTGCTGTCCATTTAAGCAATCTTACCTCCATTAATCTGGTTATTAATGTCAAGTATATTTCTCATCAAAAAAGTGAGAATCTTCTAGTTTTATATACTATTATTTTCCCATGTTCATTTGCCTTTTAAGTTTTGTCTGATTTATATCATTTGTATTCTTTTATTCCTAAGGGACCTAGCAAGTAGTAGAAGTGCAATTGCATAATATCTGTTATCATTTTAACTCTTCATTATATCCAATCCAACATGCCTTTGGAAACTCTAAGAACTTTGATAAATTATGATAATTAAAGAAAGGCTTCAGGCCCTTTGTTCATAGGGTCGCTATGAGTTGTGCTCAACTTGACGCCAATCAACACAACACAACAACATCATCCAATCCAAGAGTAAATAAAAGTGAAATGAGTAAATTTTACTTAAATTGACATGAGATTATCTCAATTTTTTACCTCTTTATTACATCTGGATAACTTACTTGTTATACTTAACAGTAGATATCACTCAATATCTGATACTATTTTCCTGACCTTAAGAAAGCATGCCGACAGCTCAGGATTTTCCTTATTCAGTAATGTGTAGTTGAAAAATTACAAGTCTGATTAAACTGCTCATCTTTATACTACTTAAGAGAAAAAAATTACTAATTGTCTATCAATCTTAATTTGTCAAGTTGAATTTTTATCTTTTAGGGTTATCCATCAAGTAAATGATTAATAATAATGATTAACATGCCTTTTTTGCTCATTGGGTGATGAATATTTTTACTGGATCAAACTGCCATGTCATTTAACCTATTAAATATTTCTTTAGAAAAAGAAAGATAATATTTTGTCGCATGTAAAATAATTTGGCTATGCAGAAATAAAAACATTTAAGTGTGAATATTATAGAAATATACTGTAATATATAATATAAATGATTTTTATATAATTACATAGTATATAATATTTTCATTTGTTTATGAATACTCAAACTTTGTGTAGTATTCTAGAAATATAGAATTATTGCTATATTTTATTTATGAATTAATATTATTTTTATAATTCAAATGAAATCCTATGTTATCAAATATATGTGAATATTTTAAATCCATTTCATGAAGCATATGTTTATATTGGGCATTGATAGGATGAAGAATAAAGAAAAATATTTTACTATATACTCATCTTTGTCTTTTACTATAAAGATTACAGACAAATTTGAGGGTATTATAAAAGAGAGCAGTTCATTTTTATTTTGTGATATTACATAATTTTAAAATTTAAATATAGAGAGGATTCTATATATTTGCATGAACTATAGACAAATATGTTATGACTTGTGAATATATTGTCACCAATTTGCATAGCTGAACAGGGGACTTTAAATGACTTTGTTATCTCCTTGCTGTGACAGACAGAAATTTGTCTCTTTGTCTTTATATAAATTGTAAATTTTATTTTGAAGATTTGTCTGAAAATAAACTTTGTTAGGTCAATTTTCATCTAAAACATTAAATGCATTTAGCACTGATAATCCTCAGAGATTATAAATTTGAAAAAAAAAGTTCTAAAAAAGACAATGTCCTTGTCTATTTCCAAGTATCTCTTCCTCTCTAGTAGCCTGGTGGGTAAGGAGATGGACTGTTAATTCAAAGGCACACACAGCTCTACTGTACCATCTGCTCTGTGAGGGGAAGATAGCAGTGCCCTCCCATGGGTTTTACAAACTCTGAAAACCCTCAGAAGGGTCAGAGTTGAGTCAATTCAGACTCAGTGGCACACAACAACAACAACAACAACAACTCTTTTTTTAGGAAAAAAAAATCACTGTTACTCTATTGAGTTTTACCAACTCAATGCCGAATGATTTCAAAGTATTCATATTGATCACCCCTTTCTATTAGACTCTACTATGTTAAATACAAACTACTTACTTCTTTTCCCTTGTTAATGATTGTAATAGACTTAGAAAAGTGCTTGGTAAATAATGAGCACTAAAAAAATTATAATAATAAAAAAATTATAAAGAATAAAAAAGACAGAAACAGCAGATTCTTCTAAGAAGCCTTGTTTTTATTATTGTTTCCTAATTATTTTCCCTTTACATTTTGAATTTGTAATACATGCAAAGTTTTACTATTTATATAATGTTTCAATGTTAAGAACATAGTTTATCAAGCAGGTATCTGGTCTTTCCTGGAAAAGACGGGGCTGAAATATTACAACGATTAATTTTATTTTTTGTTATTGTGAAAAAAGATAACTGAAAAAAACACAAATAATTCTGACACAGACATTTCCAATACAAAAGATGATTATGGACTCATATTTTTTGCATAGAAGGTTTGCCTATGGCAGTCAATAGGAATCTCTCTTCAGAATAGTATTTTCAAATGAATTTGAACCATTCTTGAGATAATGCTACTTCAAAGTTCGAGAAATAAACAGCTCTAAAACTGTTCTTTCTATATACTTTTTGTAGAAACCACCTCTAATACTTCAACAGGATGCTCAGCTTACACCCAAATAGGCATTTTCTGAGTACATGGTTGTTTATATAACAGATTGCTTTTCCTAGGACTTCACCATTAGTGTGGACGAAATAACCTAGAATGTAAGCTCCATGAGAGCAGGGAGACCTTGCTCGTCTTAGAAAGCAGCGGAATCTTGAAAAACTGTAACAGTGTCTGGCACATGGGAAGAATTGAAGGAATTTGTTGAAAGAACCAGCAATGTTTCAGCAGGTGACTACTACTGATGGTGGCAGCTTGGCTACTGTATGTGTGGTGCCATTTATGTAAACTTTTATGAGTGACTTCACGTATACGGTGGCTAAACTGGTCCATGCGACAACAATTCCAAGTTTTCTTCTGAAGAATCATCTGAAATGGCTTGTTTGTAAATATTGCAACACCGATCTAATTGGTCCGTTTTAAGAAATGCAATCTTCAAATCAGCATAGACTCATATCCACTTAAATGCTCAAACTGTCTATAAGCATTACTATACTTCAGGAAATACAATATTCTGATATCTACAATATGCCTTTGTGGACTTATTTAATTACTATTTATTTTCTTTTTCTTCCTTGTTACTGAAAAATATACTAACTCATTAGTAATTTTGATCTATATTAGTTAAATCACCAGTGGAAGGAGTTCATTTAATGAATTTTGTGAAATTTGAAAATATGTTAATTTTTATATCAGTAATTTCATCTTAGAAATACACACACACACACACACACACACGCACACGCACACGCACACACATTTAATGATATTTTACTGAGAAAATCATTAGAACATTCAACTACCACTGAGAAAATTCTACTTTTAGTGCTTAAGCATGAACTAGACCAGGATACTATTCAGATTATAATGGCTCATCTTACAACAGAGATCCCACTTTCTCGTTCTTTCAGTATTGAAACAATCTCTAGTTAACGAAACTCAAAATAAAGTTCACTGGAGTTTGTTCAATACTGGAAGAATGATAAGCTTGATGTTGCTGTTGTCTACATTAACTACATCTACTCTTAATCAAGAGGTCATGTCTCCATTTTATTGAGGTTAAAACTTTATTAAACTAAGTAATATTCTTATTGAAAATGCAAGTATAAAGCCCTATCATTTAATATTTGTATTCATACAACATCCTTATGATCTCCATGAATTTATAGCTATTGGAGAATTATTTCTTAATTGGTTTTCCAATCCTTATAAAGATAGAAATTCTGAGTATTGTTTTGGAAAAGAGGGACAAGTATAAGCAAAAGAAGTCTATAATGTCTAAACTATCTAATATAAATGTTAGGTAATGTTTACCTATGATATAAGATCTCATCTTCTGTTTTGTTTTGAATATGAAGGAAATTATCAAGTAGTGATTTGTAAATCAGCTGAAGCTTCTAGGAATAGAACCACAGAAAGGAGATTCTAAAATGGATATAACAGAGAGGTAGAACAGTCATAATATCTCTCTTATGAGGCACCATGATACTTTCTTGCTTTCATGATTACATGATATTGAGTTGTAAGTTTCAAACACATTAAATAAATGTAGGCTAATAAAATACGAAAGAAAAGGCTAACAGGAGATACCTTCTGAAATCCTTTTTTTTTTCTTCCTTAACACAAAAAGTTTTATTCAATACTTTCTGGTGGGTAAGGAGTTGCCCTGCTAACTTAAAGTTAGGTAGTTGGAATATAGTAGCTGCACCAGAGGAGAAAGATGGGCAATCTCCTCCCCCATATGATTTCTATATAGCTTTTGAAAGCCTACTGGAAGCTCAGCTATGAGTCAGTTTTGATTTGACAGCACAAAATATGAACATGAGATCAGGATTGTGTCTGTTTTATTCAGCACCACAAGACCTGTGTGTAGCACTATCAAGACCAAAGAATCTGCCTCCAGACAATGACTTTTTCCTGTGCAACCTAAAAAACAACTAGGAAAGTTTCATGTGACAACAGAATCACGTTTACCCACATGAATAAATGATTTCCAGATCTGTAGTCACTTTTTGGACTCAGTAATTTCTATTTCTAATTAACTCAAGAGTCTTAAATCACATATAACCCAAATAGAGTAGAATCACTTTTATTCACAATAGGATTCTAATTTTAATTATAACAATAATGTCATTTTAAAAAATATTTTCCTTGCAAGATTTTTCTTTTCAAATTACTTGCATCACCTCCAAATGCAAATAATAATAAAAACCAAAATGAAACTTGGCTTTCTTCTGCCAGTAAGGTTCTCCTTTCTCAATATCTTTTGTCTGGCTTATTTTTTTAATTATATAAACTAAAACATCTGGGCTATTTTTTCACTATTGCTGCTTTCCAGTCTATATACTCATGTATACCCTTACAATTTTTCATCTGAGAAGTGCTGGTAGTTGTTCAGAAAAGGGAGGTCTAGTCCAGTCCTCTTGTTTCCTGACTGGTTTCTTCAAACTATGGATATCTGACTCCTGTAAGAATTATCTTACCAAAAAAAGAAAAAAAAAAAGAATTATTTTACCAAATCATACATTCATGGCTTTCTCTGATAGAAAAACTACAAAAAATATACCTTCAATATTACATTTTAATAACAATTCTATTAACATATATTGAACATTTAGTTGTAGGTACTTTTCATTTATTCTCTCAGCTTCTGGTCAGCATAAATTTTGTTATTACCATTTTTATTTTACAAATGAGAAATTGTACACCCAGAAAGGCTTGTTAATTTTCTCAAAGTAAGAAAAAAAGTTTTAACACTTTTCCTTTACTTTCAGAGCAACATCTTATTGTCTGCTTTCAGAGCAGCATCTTTTTCTCCTTGGCCCTATCAGTTAGTATTCCTCAAACCTCCTCTTCACCAGACAAAAGAATTTTCTTTCTATGCCTCACATATGCATTTCTTATATCTGGATTTTTATCTATCTTATTCCTGTATTTAAAAAAAAAACTTTCCTTCTCCTCTTTGTCTTCAAATACTACATATTCTCATATCCATTTCAAATTCTTTTGTATCCATAAATATTTTAGACTATTCTTGTCCTTGTTATCTCTTTGCCCTGAATTTTTATTTTATTGCATATTTTACTGTTTACCTTTTAGTAATGCCATCTCATAGGACAATGATACACATTCTATACAATAATATAGATTGGAAAACAATGAGGCTTCAACATAAATAGGCTGGTAACCTCATAGTGAAGAGTTACACTGCCAACCCAAAGGCAGGTGGTTAGAATCCACCACTTGCTCTTTGGTTCAAAGATGGCAGTCACTTCCCATGTGGTTTCCAGCCTCTGAAAACCCACAAGAAGGTCGTCTATGAGTTGGTCCTGAGTCTATGGCACACAACAATAAAAACAATATATATTAATAAGGATGAATTCTATATTACAGTCTACATGAGATATAGGCAAATACATAACATTTCCTCTGAAATTAATGTACTTAGGGCAAACATCAACAATAGAATAACTGAGAGAAAATAATTTCAAATAAAAATGTACTTCAACAGTTTTTTAAATTATTTTCTATGGGAAATTGGATTTCTTATAAAGTTTATATACATTGTGTTTCTCATTATCATTCATTCGCTTTGTGTTTCACACAATCATTCCAATTCATTATGTTTTATAAAACTAATCACCATTGAAATATATCTACTATTATTCTGTCTTTTCAGATCCCAAATGGATCTTTCTCATTTTCTTTCCTCCTCTGCTCCCCTTAGATCTTCATATTCATTTAACTAGTTATCTTTCTACTTCTACAATAATGGTCTTAGGCAGTATTTGTGAGACTGAGTTAGTTCATTCAGTATAATGTTCTCCAGTCTCTCTCAAGGTATTCACTAATTTTTTTAAATTGCTGCTCCTGAGTGCTGTGTAATTCCATCATGTGAATATACCACAATTTCTCAATCCATTCAATTGTGTTTGGACATTTGGGCTGTTTCCATGTTCTTACAATTGTGAATAATGCTGCTGTGAGTATTGGTGTACAAATCTCCATTTGTGTCTCAGTTCTAATTTCCTCAAGGTATATTCCTAGCAGTGGACTAACTGGGTCATATGGAATTTCTATGTTCAGTTTTTTGAGGAAACACCAATCTGCCTTCCAGTGTGGTTATACCATTTTACAATCCCACCAACAATGTCTAAGAGTTCCTATCTCCACATCTTCTCCATCATTTAAACTTTGCCACTGCTACTGGAGTGAGATGGTATCTCATCGTGGTTTTGATTTGCATCTCTCTTATTGCCAATGATTTTGAGCATTTCTTCATGTGTCTGTTGGCCATCTGAATATCTTCTGTGAAGTTTTTCCATGTATTTTCCCCATTTTGTAACTAGGTTATTGGTCTTTTTCTTGTAGAGCCCCTGTATCATTCTGTAAACTTTTTTAAATGAGATCCTTGTCTGAGATGATACTGGCAATTGTGTTTTTTCCCCAGTCAGTAGGGTTTCTTTTCACCCAGCTGGAAAAAGGTTTTTTAATGTGCACAGGGATTTAATCTTTAAAAGGTTCCATTCATCAATTTTGTCCTCTCCTGGTTGTGTATTTCTGGCTGTATTTGTCAGCCTTTCTATATCATAAGTTAGGGAGCAGTGCTGGCCTAGTGGCAAGAAGCTGTACTGCAATCCAGAAGTTATGTGGTTTGAATCCATCAAATGTCCCACAGGAGAAGTATGGACAATCTCTTCTTGTGCAATTAACTGCCTCTGAAAACCTAGAGAGTCAGCTTATGGGTCAATTCCAACTTGACGGTACACAACAACAACAACAGGCCTTCTAAGCTTGGTCTCACTTTATCTCTTAGGACCTTTATGGTGTGGAGCCTTATCCCTAGGTCTCTCATTCACCTTGAATTGCTTTTTGTGTATCGGGAGAGGTGTGGATCCTACTCCAACTTTCTGCAGTTAACAGTCCAGTGCTTCAATAGATTTTATTTTGATATTGTTGTTATATGCCAACTATAGCCACAGTGGACTTATGAACAACAAATCAGAGCCTTGCCCTGTCCTGTACCATCCTCACAATCTGTGCTATGCTCAAGCTCAGTGTGGTAGTCACTGTGACAATCAATCTAGCTGAGCGTCTTCTTGTATTTCACAGACCTATGCAGATTTTATGTGACCACAAATAGTTTTCCTATCCTTAGAAGGAGAGTCTGTATGGGATGAATTTGTCAGGTCTTCCCCAACAAAATCTCTAAGGTAGAACAGGGTTATTAAAAAGCTTGAATGTTACTAAAAAAATAAAAGTTAGAGCCACAAAAGATATTGAAAGCTGTATAAACAATTTAGAAAGGACCATTTCTCAGACAATGATATTACACACACTTTCACACTTTGATAAACAAATACCTATAATGGTGATTTAGATTAACTGAGACTGAAAAACTAATTCACCGAAGTTGCAAATACGTAGGATAAATATTTAAGATTCATTTGGCTGTTCAGCACTAAATATGAATTATCTTGTATAGGTCATCTGCTGATGAAACAAGTTTAAGCCAATTATCAGAGGCAGAACATATCAGAAGAAGAGATTTTATATATTCTATGAAATAAATGTGATACATTTTTTTTACAGTGTGCTCAATCTGAGTTCCAATGTGTATTAATTGAAAGAATCCAGGAAAAACTTATTTATTGTACTGAAATATCTGTCTTTGAGAACTTGATTAATGATTCTTAAGATTATCATCAAAAGTTGATATAATATTAGTATTTTGAAAAAATAGGTTATTTGTTTTGTTTATTTCTAAATTTAGTAATGATTATAAAATTAAAACAATATTAATTTTGAAATCAGTTAATAGGAAATCAATATATGGAAAGTAATACAAATATAAAATTTGGAGATGGAATTTATAGATAAGATATATTGTACATGCATCGTGTTGTTTGTAGACAAGAAAAAAAATACCCTCAAAGTTTTGGGTTGACTCATTTATTTATTTCCTTGACTATCCCTACTCTGTATATGTAACCAATTTTCCTTTACATACAGCAGCTTACCCTAGTATCCCCAGATGCTTCAAATGACACAAGTCCTGAGCCTGAACCATTTCTGATGAAGCTGAAAAAGAAGAGAATTCAGGAGGCAAAGACCAAGTGCTTTGAGCGAATGGAAATGTTACCACCATATGAAGGAGAAGGTAAGAGAAGAATCTATGTGAACATGTGTCTTCATCAGAAACTTCTTCTCTTCAGTGTGTAAATTGGGTGTTGACTAGCTCCAGCTTGCTGTATTAACAGTCACCAGGGCAGCTTTCCTACTGTACTATATTTCTTTCATGCAGCAGCCATACCCAGCTTCTTTATTCAAATCCTTCCAACAACTCTTTGGCTAACATTTGTTCTCAGGACAGAATTACTGCAATAATGCTGGACTCACACCTGGCATGTACAGGCTTAAGTCAAGCCCTTCCAGTCTGAGTGAATTAGGAGGCTGTATTTCCTTAACAGGAAGCTCTGGTGGCCTAGTGGTAAGGAGTTAACTTGCTTTTCCTTCATGCTATTCCCTTTCTACTCTTATTTTCTAGTGCAATTAGATCAAGATATTTCTCAGATAAAGTTTATCTATCACCTTCTCTAGAGTCTTCTACATTGTTGTTGCTGTGTATTGTGGCGTCAGAACTGACCCAAAGCTAACCCTCCAGTGGGCTTTCAAAGGGAGAAGACTGCCCATATGTCCCATGGATAAGCTGGTGGGTTTGAACAGTGTACCTTTGCATTGGCAGCATAATTCCTTACCACTAAGCCACCAGAGAGTCTTCTATAGGACAATTCAAATACTTAAGGCCACGAATATGGAGAATACAATGACCAAATATTTTTACATGCATTTACATTCTCTTCACCTTAAAACATTTCAGAACATGAAACAGATCTCATACATATATGAATTGTCTTATGGCAATCCAATTTTCTTAACTCAAAGGATAAAGTCTGTCCCTTAGGAAAGTAAAGATTTACCTCAGAAACCTCATGGAGGGTCACTGTGAGTTGAAACAGGGCTCTATAGCAGTGGGTTTAGTTTTGGCTTTTGGAATATGGAATCAAAATTACAATAACAACTTGAAAGATAAGGTAGAAACCACAGAGGGCAGTACATTTTTGCTAATGGAGGAGAAACAACTCAGAAATGAGAGATGAGAATGTTTACACAAATGGAGTAATATAATCAACTTTAGTTAATTGTGTAAGTAGAAAAATTTGAAAGATATATGCTTTTGATATATGTATTCTCAATGGGTGGGAAAAAATAGAGCTTTCATAGATAACTTCTTGAAAGATCACTAGTAGGATCTCTATGTTCTAATAGTAGCTCTCGTGGCCTAGTAGGAAGAGGTTGCACTGCCAGCCCAATGACACAGGGTTCAAATACACCAGCTGCTCGTTGGGAGAAAGATGGGCAATCTCCTGTCATGTGATATAAAGCTTTTGAAAATGTATTAGAGGATCAGTTATGACTCGATTTCTACTCAACAACATATAGCAACAACATATGCTCTAAAGACATACAGATACTTTTAATGTTAAAGCTATTATTCAGAAGTGATATATTATTACAGATTCTTTCACAAAAGTTCATTTATCATATATCTGGAAATATTTTAAAGGAGAGGGTTTTGGAGAAAGACTGTATGCACAAAAAGTGTGTATTTCCTTTAAAAAAACAAATAGAAAAATCTTATAAAAAGATGAATTCCATTAGAAAGTATCTTTAATTTTTTGCTATTGCTTCTTTTAGTATTTCTATTTCTGGGTAGAGGATTTCAGAATAATATATACTGGACCATCTATGCTTCTGTTAAACTACACTGATGATTCTGAAATGGTTTACAACTTTCTGTTGTAGTCTAGATGTCTGACTTAAACCTCAACTCTCAAGTAACGTATTTAATTGTGAGAACTAAATTGGCAAGGACAAATTTCCTCTAGAAATTTAATTTACCACTTGTCATTTCCAGAACTTCCTTTTTTTTTTAAGAGCTTAAGGAAAAGATAAAATAGATAAAATATTTTAGATGAAGATTTTTTAAAAATCTATTCTTGAAGAATATTCCTTTTTATTTTTTTTATTTCATACTGATTTATTCACAAAGGTTGAATACGTTTTTCACACACGATCCTTCCCATTTCCTTCACCCACACAGACATAGAATTGTGCAACCCTATGATTAACACCCCACCCCACCCCCGCCCATCCTCTCTCCTCTGCTTCCACTCTCCCACCCCCTTGCATCCTCATACTCATCTTACAATAATGGTTTTATACAGTATTTGTCGTTGTGAGACTGAATTAGTTCACTTAGCATAATGCCGTCCAGTTTCTCCCAAGTTAGGTAATAATTTACAAAGTCATTGCTCCTGAGTGCTGCACAGAATACACCACAACAAGAATGTTCCCTTTAAAATATCCCCAAAATTTATTTTACTATTTTAATGAATTAGTTTTAACTTTCTGAGTAAAAATCTCTTACAGAGTAGTTATTCTGAACCTTATGCTGAAAATATTGAGGGACTAAAAATGTGTATCTTACAGAAACTTCAATTCTGAATTGACAATCTAAACCCAATTTCTTGGTTTGGTGTTTTAAGAAAGAATTAACTTGCCGGAAGAAAAACCAATAAATTTTACTCAGAATTCCTTTGATTAACAACCAAATTCTATTTCTACATCATGTTATTACAATTACATAAATAGCACACAAAGGGTCTACCTCACCTGGCCAAACCTTTGTGCTACTTGCTTTTAAAGAAGGTCAAATTTATTCTTTTCTTAACTACGGCTAGAACCAACTGTGTAGTAAAATGAGATAATTTGGGTGTGGACTTGCTAAAGCTACCTGAAACATCATTCTTAACATAAATTGTCTGAAATGTGAGCCATCATGAGAGTAGTAGAGGGTTAAACTATTCCTAAGCTTGTCCTGATGTTGATTTTTTTAAACTATGGTTAAATCCATATAGCTTCCATGTTGACCTCTTTCTTTATGGCCAGGGTTATACTGCAACCGCACCTGGGATGGATGGCTATGCTGGGATGACACAAAAGCTGGAACAACAGTTACTCAACACTGCCCAAGTTATTCTGGAGAGTTTGATCCAACAGGTAGAATACTTAATTTATGTTTTGCTATGAAACTTTTACAATTATCACAGTTATGTTGTTGTTTTTATGTGCTGTCGAGTCACTTGCGACTCATAGCGATCCTATGTGCAACAGCCCTAAACTCTGCTCTGTCCTGTGCCAGTCGCATTATCTCTGACACGCCCATTCCGATTATCCCAGTCACTGAATCAATCCACCTCATAGAGGGCCTTCCCTTCCTTCACTGTCCCTCCACCCTCCCAAGCATGATGTCCTTCTCCAAGGACCGGTCTCTCCTCACAACATGTCCAAAGTATGTTAGACGGAGCCTCAGAATCCTTGCCTCCAAGGAGCCACCCAGTTTAACCCTTTCCAGAATGAATCTGTTTGTTTTCCTAGCAGTCCATGGTATTTTCAATACTCTTCTCCAGCACCACAGCTCAAAGGCATCAATTCTCCTTCTATAAGAAAATTATGAAATATACCTACCTAACCAGATGAGCACATTTAGTTGTGATCATGTGAAATCTTTACCTAGACCAAGAAGCTGTTGTCCAAATGAAGCAAGGGAATCCTATATGGCTAAAATCAGGAAAAGTGTGTGTCAGGGATGTATCCTTTCTTCATACCTTTTCAATCTGTATGTTGAACAAATAATTTGTGAAGCTGGAATGTTCAAAGAAGAATGTGGCCTTGGGACCTAGAGACACACACAGCCTTGCTTGCTGGAAGTGAGGAAGACTTGCAGTGCTCGCTGCAGAAGACCGAAGACCACAGCCTTATATATGGATTACATTTCGTCATCAAGAAAACAAAGGTCCTCACCACTGGACCAATAGACAACATCATGGAAGGTGGAGAAAGGATTGAAGTTGTCCATTATTTCATTTTGCTGGGATCAACAATTAACACCCTTGGTACTAGGCAGTCAGGAGATCAGGAGATGTATTGCATTGGGCAGGTCACTGTTCAGAATCTCTCCAAAATACTAAAGATCAATAGTAAATAAAACGACTAAGGTACACTTGATTCAGACCATAGTTGTTTTTTTTTTCTTCAATAACTTGTTATGCATCTGAGAGCTGGACAGTGAATAACTATGACAGAAAAAGAATTGATGACTTTGAGTTGTGGTGATGAAAAAGAGTATTGAATATCCTATGGACTGCCAAGGGAACAAACGTATATGTCTTGAAACAGTACAACCAGAGTGCTCTCTGGAGTTAAGAATGACAAAACATCATCTCTCATACTTTGGGCATGTTGCTAGGAGAGGTTGTTTCTTGAAGAGGGAGCTCATGCTTGGAGAAGTGGAGAGTCCGTGAAAAAGAGGAAGAAGATGGATTGACATAGTACCTGCAGTAATGGTTTCAAGCGTGTCAGAGATGATGAACATGGCAAAGGACAGGACAGGGTTCAGATTTGTTGTTCATAGGGTAGATATGAGTTGTACTCAACTAGACAGCTCCTAATAACAACTATCAGATGAGCAAGCTCTTCTCATGAAAACCTACTGGAGGGTCAGCTATGAGTTGTTCTAACTCAATGACAAACAACAGCAATCATATTCTATAGAGAGCTTTAGTGACCTAGTGGTAAGGGATTGTGATGACTACCCAAGGCACACGGTTCAATCTACTAGTTGCTCTGTGAAAGAAAGGTAGGGAATATGCACCTATGTAATTTACAGTTTCTAAAATCCCACTGGAGGGTCAGCTATGAGTCAGTTTTGATTCAATAGCAGTGAAAAAGAACAACAATCTTATTCTACATTGCCTAAACCACTATAAGTGAGGTTTTTAATTTAAATATTCCTCATTACTACATATAGAGCATTTTTTTATTCTTTAAATCATATTACTGGTCATATAATGCCTTCAAGTTGTGGTGCTGGAGAACAGTCTTGAACATATCATTGATGGCCAAGAAAACAAAGAAATCTGTCTTGGAGAAAGTGAAACCAAGTTTTCCCTTGGAGGCTAGGATTTTGAAGCCCCATCGTACATATTTTGGGCTCATAGCCAGGAAAGGTCGGTCCTTGGAGAAGGATATCATGTTTTAAAGAGTGGAGGGAAGACACGGGAGAGGCAGACCCAGGGTGGGATGGATTGATACAGTAACTGGGGAAATGGGGTTAAATGTGCTGAATCAGTAAGACTGGTTCAGGACAGGGCAGGTTTCAAAGCTGTGGGTCACAGGTGACCCAATAGCACATAAAAACAACTGGTCATTTGTGTTTATTGATCTTAAATTCTTGTTTTATAAATTAACTTTTCTAATACTCTTAACACCAGCAGTCAGGAAATCAAAAAGGGTATCGCGATGGGAAAGTCTGCTGTTAGGGACCTCTCTAAAGTACTCAGGAACAACGGTGTCTCTCTGGAGACTAAGGTG